TCGTAACTCTGTTTCTGGAGGAAGGAACTACTTCGAAGAAGCTTCATCACTGGGAATCCATCACATACCCCTCCCCCAAGTCCAGAACCATCAATATAGAGAACTCCCCAATATGAAAGGAGATAAGTTTCCACTTCAAACAATCCCACAAGGTTAGCAATCCACCAACCCTTCCTCTACCAATTTACTACCCATCTTACTTGCCCTGACCCCAGATACTCATGATCACCTTAGCTTCCACCACTTCTAATTTGAACTCCTGAATTAACACCACATCTGATTTTCACCTTTTAACAAATCACAAATCACCATCCTCCTCCCCGAACCTAAACCCCTCACATTCCAAGACAAAAGCTTCAACTCCATAACAAACAATAAGAGAAATCATCCCCCCTTCCCCTCCAACGAACCCCTACACCGTTTTTCCTCCCCCCACCCCCCTTGCCGAGCCCTCCCCCTTTCCTACTATCACACTACTTTTCGTAGAACTTCCCCCTTTATTTGATAAGTAAAAAGGAAAATTCATTAAAAATAAAAGAGTATAATCTAGATAGGTGATAAGGTAAGCACCTAATCAACAACAAAAACTTAACACAAGCATTACAATTTTAGCCTTCCATATTACAATTTTCAATCCATGCCACCTCCCACAAACTTTCCCCTAAATCTTCTCCCTTGAGCTGAGAAAAGTCTAGAAGAATTAAGACCCAATATGCAACGGATTTGCCCACAACTGTCACCAATTTATCCAGCTTCCATTTCTTATCTTTGAAGATTCTTCCATTTCTTTCTTTCCAAATGTTCCAAAGATGGCAAATAGAATACAGCTCTATATTTTTTTATTGGAAACAATAATTTCATTAATACAAATTTAAGTACAACTATCAACCCCTAAACAAGTGTCGAGTCCCAAGTAATCTTTATTACAAAACTGCACAGAACATACTCTCCCTCACAATCCCTTGTTTATACAATGTATCAACTAAACCATTAGATGATCTCCTTGTCCATTTGAAGCCAGCACAAATCTCCCTTGTTATATTGGGGATTACCCTTATGGGCTGTCTATAAATCCAGGCTCCCAACTTACCTATTTGCAGCCAATCAATTAACAATTTTGAGCCTCCCTCTATCTCAATTTGGTGTAGTAACCCAATTGTTTGGCATATCTTACACCTTGAAGCAAGGCCATCACCTCCACTCTCAATGAGTCCCCCACTCCTATTGGCCCCAAAAACATACCACAATTTTGCCATTTTCATCTTTGAATACTCCCCCTATACCTGAAGGGACTGGGTTACATTTAGAGCTCCCATCAAAGTTCAGTTTCACACTTTGTTGTGTTGGTGGGGACAAAATTCTTGCACAGTAGGTTTAATGGAAGTTGTAGACAGCCCATAAGGGGCCACAGCTCCATATTATTTTAGCTTTTTTCTTCCCTTGATTCCTGGCCATGAAGAAAATACTTCAGCAGCTGTTCTTGGCTGGAAGTTCCTAACCCCAAAGATATTCATGAAGAGCTTCCACATAAACCCAAAAGTTCTGCATGCAAAGAAGAGATGGCTAACTGATTCCTCTTCCTCGCACATAAAACACATGTTATCCATGACGAAACCTCTTGCTTCAAATGACCCACTGTCAACACACTTTCCATAACTACTATCGAAGCAAAAGCATCCACCCTTGGGGGAATTGGGTTACCCCAAATTCCACCCAAGTCTTCAAATTCCATTTGGTTCCTACAAAAGCCAAGTACCACAATACCAAAAACTTTCCGATTGAGTATTCTTTCCACCATAGCTCATCCCTAGGCTGGGTTGAGATCTTCACCCTCTCTAGCTTCTCCAGCAAACTTAAACTCTCCTCAAATTCCTTTTCAAGGAGAGGCCTTCTAAATCTTGGGCACTAAACTATCTACTCCCCAATTCTCTCATAACAGCTTCAAATAGTCACTCCCAACTCCGACAACCTAAATAATCTTGGAAATACCTCAAACAATCTTCCCACTCTACTCCAATTATCCTCCCAAAATCTTATTCTAGCCCCATCCCAACTCCACATTAAACTTCATTATTCCTTCCCACACACTCACACCATATGAAGAACTTCCCTTGATTCCCACCCAAATCTTGTAACCCCATACCGACCACCATCCTCCTCAAAAGGGAATTTTCCTCTCTACTCAACCCAAATCTCCATAACTATTTCTCACGTAATGCTTTATTAAATAATCTCACCCTCCTAAACCCCAAACCCCCTCCCCCTTTAGGTCTAACACCTTATCCCATTTAACCAGATGCAACTTCTCCCCCCCCCATCACCCAAACCTTTCCCATAAGAAATCCCTCTGAATCTTTTCCATCCTCTCTACAATTTTTGGTGGAAGTGTGCAACCCTCAGTAGTGATAAGTAACAAGTCAGCAGGCTCAATAACACACTTTTGATAAGTGTAACCCTTCCTCCCAAGGATAAGTATCTCATTTTCCAGCCCTCCAACCTCCCCAGTAGTGATAAGTAACAAGTCAGCAGGCTCAATAACACACTTTTGATAAGTGTAACCCTTCCTCCCAAGGATAAGTATCTCATTTTCCAGCCCTCCAACCTCCTCTCTATTCTTTCAACGACTGATTTCCAGATTGTGGTGGAAGCAGAATTGCCCCCAACCAGTAAACTCAAATATGTAAATGGTAGTTCCCCTACTCTGCACTCAAAGGCTTCAGCACAGTCCAACTCTTCTCTCCTCATCTCACCAACCCCTATCAAGACACTCTTAGATAAGTTAATCTTCAGAGTTCAGACCTGTCAATAACTCAAAATTACCAAGAAATGCCCTTAGATTCAGTCCCCACAAAGGTTTCCAGTCCCCTCCATCATGCATGGACACCAAAGCAGCAGCAACAGATCAAATACTTTTATCCAGTAAGAGGCACCCAGTTGTGTCCACCCACCAATCGACTGCCAGTCGGTTTTGCCCTAACCTCCATATTGCTATCTGTATGCAACAAAATTGTTCAAAGAAGTTAGACATCCCTCTGCCTCCACAATGTTACCTGTTGGTCCTAACAAAGTTTTATTAGGATGAATGAATGAACAACATTACCAAATAGGGGGTTCTTGAAGCCCCTATCCCAGCCACTAGACACAAAAAAAAGCAAAAAAGCGTCAAAGTTTCAAAAGGTGCATGCCTGGGCTGAGGCACAAGGCACACACCTAGTGCACCTAGGCGTGCGCCTTTTGAAAGGGCTGCGCCTAGGACCTAGGTGAGGCGCCTACCCTGAAATGTGCCTCACCTGTGCACCTTGGCGAGCCTGAGGTGTGCCTTTTAAAACACTGCTCCCACTTCCCCCCAACCTCTTGCAGCCCAATATTTGATTTTCTCCACCTTTACCTTTTTGTTGAAACAACCCACTAAAAAGTCCTTTCTTGCGTCCACCCAATTTCCCTTTGTTTCTAGAAACAGCCATTCACCCTCCCTTCACAGAAAAGCTTCTCCAAATCCTGGCCAGACCCCTGCCACTGCCACACTTCTAAAAGAGAAATTTCTTCTAACTCCAGAACCCAACCCACCCAAATTGTACCAAGACTCCACCCCCACCTTCTTCCCCCTCTAATCGGAAAATTAGATCACCCTCTGAATTTCGTTCTCCCCACAGTCCCCTCCCCTTTCTCAAATAGTTTGAACTTCGCCAAATATTGCCACTGCAGATCAACACAAAGCACCCCCCAAATACGTTGGAGTCAATTTATATTATAACCCATGGTTATCTCCTATATTTTGTTTGTTTTCATTCCTGGAATGGGTTCCACATTTTGCATATTTTGTTTGTTTTCATTCCTGGAGTGGGTTCCAAATTTTGAATTAGCCCTTCTCATAACAGAACCTAGATTTGAAAACAAGAGGGTTCCACATTTTGCATTGGTCCTTCCCCTAACAGGAGTGGGCTCCACACTGAAACTGTCCATGTATTCATCTCATGCAAATGACCAATGAGAGAACCACTCGGTGGTGTGGCATCACAGTTACAAAATCTGCCTAGATAAGTCAGTTAAAACCGTTTAATCCGACTAACAAATATAATTTTCTGAGCCACTTTTGTGAGCAACCCCAACTTTTGTCTATAATCAGGTTGATGTCTTCCACCCCCAACCCAAGCCAGTTGCATGGAAAGCCCAAGCTAACCCAGTCCAGCTCCAACTGTTTCAGCTTTGAGCTTAAAAACCCAACCCTTGTTGACTTTGAGAGACTAATAAGGTTTCAATTTCTCTAGTTTTATATACTTTGATACACTTCTAATGTATGATTTAGAATTCCTTGAATTCTAGACTAGCACCAACATCCATTGCAACAATTAGCAACATGCATTATTGATCCACTTGGTCCCTAACTTGTTTACATTGGAATCGGTGAAGAAACCACAAGTCACAACAACATAAAGTAGTTTATATAAAACACTAATATCATTTCTAAATTGTTTACCTGAGAAATCTATCCTAAATCTTTCTGGCTGATTCTTGAATCTTTTTCTTTTTTTTTTTTGCATCAAAATGTCAAATTTCTTTATGCAGATCCTTTAATAAGTTCACAGGCATGCTGTGTCAAGATAAGAAGGGAGAGAGTCATGCTAATTTATAGAAATAAAGGTAGACGAAACTTGCAACTCCAGCAGTTATTTCTTTATCGATCTAAGCGGTTAAACTTACTTAAACAAGAAGGAAATTGCATGAGCTAAAAGCTATCTGAGAGAAATAGTAATCTATACTATATGCATTCATCATCAGTGGAAAAGCTTAACAATAGGTAAATACAGATGCAACATGGATAAACAGATTTAAAACAGGACAACCTATGGCAGGATTAGGAAGGGTACGCAAGCTTTACAGGGACTGATGAACTCAATCCTGTCGACCCTTCCCCTCCCCATTCTTCAATGACAACCAGATAAAAAAGGGAGAAATGGAAGAAAGTAAGAGTGTTGATTGCAGAGGAGAGGAAGGATTACCTGATCACGCTTATTCCCAAAATGTTGCCGGAAAATAAAAGAAGAGAATAGCCTGGCTGAACTACGGTGAAAAGGAGGAGGCTTGCTTCTGGACTTCACAGAAACCCAGATTATTTGACGAAATCAGTACTGAAGCTGCACCGGTATTCTGTCCGAACGAGAGCTTGCTCTGCAACTCCTCTGCTTCACGTTGAAGGTGGGATAGGCGACAAAAGGAGAAAGGGGTATGGGAAGAGAAAGAAATGGAGGAGAGAGGGGAGAGGGAGTCTTACAGAGCGAGAAGGAGCAATCAGAGAGGGGAGAGTTCGCCGCCGCTGTTCACCGGAAGACGATGAACAACGACGATAAACAGTGCTTTCGGAAGAGATAAAAATAGAAGAAAGAAGGGGAGATTCGATGGTGAGAAGGATTCCCTATCACCGCCGCTGTACTTCTGGGCCTGGCAGAGGAAGGAAATGCACAGTGTCGTCGTCTCCAAGAATAGGTTCGGTGAAGAAGAAGAAGAAGAAGAAGAAGAAGAAGAAGAAGAAGAAGAAGAAGAAGAAGAAGAAGAAGAAGGGGAAGAGGAGGAAGACCGAGAGAGAAGGAGAAAAAGAGAGAGCAAAGTGAAACCGAGGGAGGAAGGAGATCTTTCGCTGCTCCGCCGATGGTTCGAGCGGAGAAGAGAATGAACAGTGCTTCCCCGTAATCTCTTCCGGACTAGGGCAAATGAAGTTACAGGCATTTTTATATTGAATGCAGGGGTGTTTTCGTAATGTTCACAAAATTTACGGGCAATTTCAGATTTTCGCGAACCCGGGTCAAAACCGGTCCAGGATACTAAACCAGGGGTTCTGGTTCAAAGGTGGAGAGTCAGAAATGGAGTGTCAAGATGGGTCTCTCCGGAAAAGGGTTTTGTGTGTGCGTATCAATGAGATTGGTAGAAATGGAATCTTTTTGGAAAAGTGAGTATATTGGAGTATTTTTGGCTGTCATTTGGTAGGATGGGGTTTTTGAACGTTTTAGGTCGACTTGTGGTGTCAGATTGGCCCAATTGGGCCCGGATTTGTCAGATCTTGAAAGGGTTTGATTCGATTAATCTAAGCATTGAAATGGAATCTTTGTGTGATTGATGAGCTAACAAGGTCTGTTTTGGATGAAATTTTACAAGAAAGGGTTTTTGGGTATTCTGAAGTGATTGGTGAAGTTAGATTGAGCAAATTGGGCTCGGTTCAGGCAAATTTGGAATCCAGTTTAGGGACTCGAAATATAATTTAAGTGTAATGGAGGTGTAAACGAAGGTACTTTGGGCTGAAATTTTAGGTCAACGGGATGTTTTGGAACGAAATCTTGGTTTGATGGGAGGGCAAGTAAGGGAGCCTAGGGTCGAACCTTTATAGGTAGGTGCTTTGATGTATTCAAAGTTCAATGCAATGGTGTGGTTTGATTGACTTGAGTAAGTGTTTTGGGAGGTCCTGAACCTGATGTTTGTGTATGATCTAATGGTTGAGGTGTAAGTGGGAGTTGATTAGGGTCATCGAATAGGTATTGGGCAGGTATAATAGTGGATATGAGGGCTTTTCAAGGTGAAAATTCATGTTTTTTTTTGTGTTTCGGATAGGTTTGATGGGTCTGATCGGGTGTTTGGAGTGAATTCAAGGTTTAGGCGGCAAATTAAGCAAAAATTGGGTGTTGGCATCAGGTCATTATTTGGGGTTAACTTATATAGCGTAACATCGGATTGCGTCTAATCCGATGTGGTAGGTTTCCATATAGGATGCTAGATGGGACCACATGTGATTTGGCATTTTTGAATCAGGGGGCAATTCAAGAAATGTCAAATTCTAGTTTTGTTTGAAAAAAGGTGGTTAGTAAATCTCGATAGAGAAATGTTTTTTGAACGTTTTTCAGGAAAACACTAAAAAACAAGAGTTTTCTATGCGATTCCATTTCTTTCTGATGTGGCGTGAATCCACATCATTGGAATCAAAACGGAGGTGCAACGCATCAGTGCCAAACAACCTCTATATAGGAACAAGGGTCCATTTCTTATTCTCAAGAAATAGCTTTTTGGATAAAATGCTTAAACATACCCTAGTTTTCTTAAATTAACTTAAATGTAACTTAAGTTTTTAAGAAATATTTAAAAGATCCTTATGACTCTTTTATCCTTTATTTTCTTTTAAATTTTCAAAATCTACCCTAAAATTTTCAAACTCATCTAAGTGTTAGTCTCTCTCTGGTAAAGTTAGTAATAAACATCATGACGTATGTAATGCACATTGTTGTTTATGTGATGATGGTGTTATATTGTAGCAAAGTGCAAAACTTTACCCTTCATTCCACTATTTCTACATCCTAGCATTCAATCACTCAGTGATAGAACAAACTTTACCTCTGCTAAAGCTAGTTTTCTAGCTGAAACCAATCAAGAACTTGTAATCAACCTCAAAATGCAGTTGAGTTACTTTAAGGTCACAATGAGGTTGAAGCAAGAACTAAGGGATGAAAAAGGTAAGAAATTGTTCTCAAGAGCAATTTACTTAATTAGCATTGGAAGCAACAATTACTTGCATCATTTTTTGACCAACTCCAGCCTTCCACACTCCTCTTAGAGACAATATGTGGGCAAAGTGATTGGGAACATAAGAAATTTCACACAAGTAAATGAGAAAGAACATTTTGACTTCCTTTAAAAAATAGTAGGAATGATCCATAGATAAAGGGGCATTCCTTTTATGTTCAAAAAGGAGCTAAATAGTATGCCTTCTTCCTCTACATTCTTTTTTTTCCTTGTCCCTGCAACTTTTCTTGGTTTTTGGATTTGCTAAGTTGGAAAATCGGTGGTTGTATAAGATTTGACAGGAAATAAGAGGTAGAAAATTTGGTTTCATTAGAATAGGGCCATTGGGTTATTTGTCTAACTGTAATAATAATCCAACCAAAAGATAATGGAGGCTTCTTAGAAGTCTTAACACATCTTCTTTCATCTCACTTTGTTTTCTTTTTTATTCTAGCTTAGAATGGCAAAATATGATTTTAAAAAATTTTAAGTGAGTTGTTTCATTGAAGGAGGTATGTTTAAGTGAGTTGTTTCATTGAAGGAGGTATGTTTAAGTGAGTTGTTTCATTAATGTATATGAACATTTATTAGTAAATGAATAAAGTACATTATTGTTTCATGTTCTTATTGGTGTGTTTCTATGAATTATTCTATAAACTGGACACTTATGAGACTCGTGTTAGTTTAGAATGTTCTCAACCAGTTGATAGACTTTGGGAGTTTATCTTAATAAGGCTGATACTAGTGTGCTACCAAACTGGTGGAACAACTTATTTCAATTGTTAAGGTTAAACCCCAAGCACAGCTAGTGGGTCTTTAGAAGAAACACTAAACCCGAATCAATTTTCCAATTATGCCTTGGACCTTGAAGATGGATGGACAAAACTGGAAGGTTTCACTTAACCACTGGCTTAATTGTGATACTACACTAGATTTTGGATTGAACTGTCTTTGATACACTAACCCGTGAGATCCATAAAGGGCCAAATACCTATATATGTTGGGGCAATTCAAGAAATTACCTGAGTGGGTGATCATAGTGATAAGATCGCCCCCTTTATTAGATAGCCGGACAAAGTGAATATCAGGGTTTACACTCTCTGATCCGATTTGCAAAATGTATCTTTATGCTATATTACTATTTTATGAAAAATGTTTGAAAAGGTTTTAATCCTATAATCCATCCAAGTAGAGAGTGTTAGACTACATTTTGCATTCTGGGAATAGATCCCTCATTGTGGGCAGTATTTTGATAATTATAGGTCGAGAGGTTAGGTGTAAGATACCATTATAACTCATTACCTGATATACTTTATCTTACATAAGTCCGTTATCATTGGATTTTAATAGGTGGCTGAATCCAAGGATAATTTGTGTAAATGTTGGGACCAAAACTGAGCTAAAGTTGATGGGGTCAAGGGCTAACTACCCCTAAGCAGTGAATTCGGCCTAACCTTTTCCAAAGGTAGGGTCGAAACCTTATGGATTTGTGTGAGACATTTGTGGGTCCCATGCCATATAATATTTAGGCCCAAAATGGCCATGAAACACCTTGGGACATAAACGATTAAAAAATATGGGCCTAAAGCCCATTACTATTATGATTAGTGAGGAGATCACATGACAACTTAAGTAGATAATGCTTATCAATTAAATATGATTAAGTTGTCATGTGATTTGGGTTGAAAATGGGAATGGATCTGGTACGGAGAACCCATTATCTTAAAAAGATAATGCTTATCATTTAAAGGTAAAGTCCCGATCCAAAGCTCCTAATTAGATTAGGAGAGTGCTCTATATAAGGGACTAAGAGGAGAGGGACAAATTCACTAGTTCTCTCTAATTTATTGCTCTTTTCTCTTATCCCTTACCTCCCAGAAACCCTAATTTGTCCTAATTGTGATAGGGACTTATTTTCGCTAGCTATCTATTGTGTTTTTTCAAGAAAAACATCAAATTATACCAGGTTCACATACCCACATTGATCTAAGCATGTTGGGATTGGTTTTGTTAAAACAATGTTGTTGAATTAGCTTCACGTACACACTACGCTATCTTGTCTATTTGAAAAAGTTAAGGTATGTTTAAGTCAATTTGTGAAAACTCAAGGTATGTTTAAATCATTTACCTTTTTTTTTGAAAAATTCTTGAGAAATAGTTTATTAGTTCAAATAGAGAACCAGTTTTATCAATATAAATTGAGAAAGCTTTATATAAATAATACTTAAATAGTAAAATAAAAGTCACCATCCTAAGAACAATCAAACATTCTACCCAAATCACAATTGCTTAATGGGTTAAAAAAGGTAAAGAAGCAAAAAACCAATTTGATAGGGGAAGAACGTTACAAGTAGAAATTACTTGTGAAAAACTAGGTCTCAGAGAAAAATTGCACCACAAGTCAAAGACTTAAGCAATTTCTATCAAGTCGAGTTCGATAAATTTAATTTCTCAACTAAGTTCTTAGAGACAGCCCATAAAAATCTGATGGCTGCACCTGAATCGGGTTGGAAAGATCATATATTACTGGTTGATGATTCCTCTTTGAGGGGTGTTTTCCCTTGTGAAGGCAACGAGTGACTAAATTAAGGGCTCTCGCTCTCTCTTTCTTCAATCAAGCCTTCTATTGGTATCGAGTTAAAGTTATATTCAAACCGGGAGAGTCGATCCATCATCACCAAACTACTTTGCATGCTCGGTGCTTTGTGTGGCGATTGGATTAAGAAGACTAGGGCTTTTGTGCATTCTTTTCTTTTTTACCTGAATGCCCTTCCTCTCGCATGGGATATCCTTATGCGTTCATTTTTTCAAATGGCAATATGGGAACCACATGTTCCCACAATCTTGTTTTTTAGGAGTTACAATTACATTAATAAAAAAATCATTCCCAACAACTTGTTCTTATTCTGGATTAGGTTGTTTCTCACTAAAAATAAAAAATCCAAACATGTTTATATTCCACATAAACATCCAAAATGCAAAACAATGCCAAACGGGGCCCTTCTCTCTAAATTGTTTACTCCAACTACAATCTCGACTATTATTGCTATACCTATCTATCCCCTTGAGTCCAATGTCCAATGGCTATGGTTGCTTGACAAATTAGGAAAAATTTTTCACTTGCCAATCTTATTTTTGAACTAGTGGTGGTCA